AGGTTTTTTTTTTTTTTACATGAAGGATTTTAGTTTTTGCTGGGTGATTGAATGCAAAATAGATTACCGCCAAGGTCGATCAGTTTTGTTTTCTCGCAGTACCTTTTGAAGGCATTTTCAAATGAACTATACCCCGGGAACATTGCCCCAACCACAACTGAAGTATCTGAATATTCAGACATTTAAAAATCTCTAGCTCTAGAAATTGAATTCGGTGCAAAAAATGCTTCCTCCCTTTCCTCGCAGAATTGCAGAATGAAAAATGATGCCTAAATCTCCCCAATACAACCAAAAAATCTCGAGAACGGAAACCGTTCGGAGAAATAGAGCTGAAAGTTTCTTTTCCCGAACGTTCAGAGAAATAGTCACCCCGTAAAGTAAAGGCCATGAAAAAGTTTGTGGAAATTAAAATGTTTTTTTCTGACATGAGGCTTGGGAGGAATTCCGTAACGAATGACCATTATTAAATAGATACGGGTAGAGGGTTAGGGTTAGTGTTAGGGTCAGGGTTAGGTCTCTTCTTTATTGTGTTTCTTAGGGTGGTCGCTAATTGTTACGGAAATCCTTCCTGATGTTTTGATAGACTTGGTCTTTTTAAGGCTTTTTTAACACTTAGCAGCTACCCTTTTTAAATTTCATATTTCCTTGTTTTCCTGTTTCATTTTCTTTTCATTGATCTTGGGATGGGAGGGTGGGGATCTTGGTATGAATTCTTGTCTGTTCATCTGTGTAATTATGAGCTCTGCTGGAAGTAGGCTGGATTGTTCTCAAGTGAATCTGGGGTTTGTACCCTGGCAGTTCTTTTTCGTTGACTCCCTTGACCTGTTCTTCTCTGTTCTCAATAATGTCCTGGCTTATGATAAAATTTTACATTCAGACTGGCCGTGATATGATGTAATAATGACGTAATAGAACTGTTCCGCTGCAGGACGTTATAAATCACGTTCTGGTTTATTTTCTTAATGTCTTTCTAACGCGTAGCTACACGTCTGCATTCTTCATTTTCTTCCACCTGGGATGACTAGATGCCTTTCCAGGGCCTTCCCTGCTAGTAGGCAGAGGCCGATATCAATTTAAATTATATATATAATTGCAATGTCTTTGTGGACGTTTTCGTTAGTTTTGTCATGTAAGAGCGGAGAGTTTAAAAAAAAAAAAATCATTAAAATCTTTGCGGTTGCTTAGTATGAGACACCGCCTTGTAAGGTCATTGAGGAAAGTGATGCATGATGGGATCTTACACTGAGCCGTCAGTTTGTTATTGCACTGAAAATATGAGCACGAGTTTTACTAAACATCAAAATAGATCAGAGGATTTCAAGCACGACATATTGACAAATGACATTTCATAAGTCATACCTTATCATAAATGTTGGTGAGATGTAATTATAGTCATTATAAAAAAGGGCATTTTTATTATCATGTACGTTATAACAGCATAATCGCCAGTATGGACCTTTTAGAATGTACGTGACACATATGCTCGGAAAGGAATTTTTAACGTAGCTTATGTTGTAGCATAAAAATTATAACCACCAGAATGGAACATTTAGACTGTACACACAACTATTATTATATATAGTCACAATAAAGGACATTTATGATTACATAATATAAAATTATAATCACCATACATGAACTTTTGGAATGTATTTGACTTTTAATGTTAATACATAAATAATAGCATAAATAATAAATAATAAGTAATCACCAAATAGGAACATTCCTCATTAAAAAAACATTCATAAATATGGGTCACATATGAGTAGGCCTATAATTTTAATGACAAGAAAGGAAGAGATGTTCCTGTCTTTTTTTCTGTGAGAGTATTTTGACAGTTGTATTCATGATCACAGAGATAAGCATTAATAAATAAATAAGTAAGTAAATAAATAAATAATTTACATTGATCCCCGTGAGGGAAAGTTGGGTTATAATGTGTAAATAGATTATAAATATTACAAATACACACATACATAAATACATACATAAATACACACTATCACAC